CTGTGACTTGTTCTAATTATCTGAATGCTTGCCAAAAAATTAAATTATAATTTTTTTTTTTTTACTTTTTGGTATTGTACATGTGACACCACTTTTTTCCTTGTTTAATCATGAAATATCAGAAATAACAGTGCTATCTTTGATTCATAATGCATACATTGCTGTAAAAGTGGTCTCAGAGCTGTGGAGATACAACAAAGTTCTTAAGTAGTAATAGAACACCATGCCTATTAAATACATCACTGGTAAGCAAAACAATAGGATAAAGGAAGCCTGATACTATGTTGTTTAACACTATCAGCTTGATATGGAAGCCAGTTTAGATGCAACACAGAATCTGGATCTGTGCTTGTATTTCTTATAAAGAGGCTCAACAGCCTCTCTGCATCACCACCGTTACTCATAGTCACTCGGTGTGTAACCTCTGTTGCACAGGAAATATAATACTAGTCCTAAAGTAACTTTGGTTCTTGGAGATAGTGTGAATTGCATGACTCGTCTTCTATCTCTTCTAACCCAAAATGAATCTTCCGAGGCACTGAAGAAGGAATTTATTGGTCCTACTTTCTGTGCCTCCAAAGGGGATGCTGAAGGTCTGACGAGCACATAGTTAAAATAGAGAAATGCCCGAAACAACCCCTGACCCAAATTTATGCAAGACAAACTTGTACATTGCCATCCTTTCGTTTTTGACACCCTAGAATAGACCTACACTGACTACAACTCAAAGAATGATAATGAACATTAGGTAGTATCTTTGATACTGGAACTTACTATGTTAAATAGTTGTAAACATCTATTGTACTGTCATTTAAAAGTTTAAAAGCAAAAAGTAATGCTGTATACAGTGTGCGCTAAATTCTATGGAAAAATTGAAAGATAATCAAATAATGTATTTTCTTTTAAAGAAAAGAAATTGGTTGTCAAATACTACAATGGCAGAAATGACCATAAAGAGTGGAGGGAGCAATAATTTCTCCTCTGCAAAGGCTCTTACTTGCAAGATCCCTCAGGAATCCATACAGTGGCATCGTCTCTTCCATGTCTTTGTGAAAACATTGGGAGATAAAGATGCCGTAACCTTGACCCCATCAGCAGCATGCTGATAGCACACACAACTCCATTTCCAGTAGATATCAGCACCGTATCTGTTCATATGATAGAATATGTGTAAGAAATAGCCGCATGTCATTCAAGAGCAAATTCTCACTAAAGTAACACTACTAGAAATGAGAAAGACCTGACCAAGTGTTTGTGGCCAGATTCCACTGAATGTATACACTCCTTCACCAAAATGGTTACATTGATTTTTCCCTTAGCTTGTGGGAAGTTGGGTGACTACGTAGCAACAGTTTGTTCAACAGCTCCATTTTCACCTTCAGTCTGTTGGGAGAACTCATCTTTTTCTCCCAGTAAAACATTTGGCTGCTATAATTGATGTACGTACTGCTACAATATAACTCATTGTGCTGGTTTTGGCTGGGATAGAGTTAATTTTCTTCATAGTAGCTAGTATGAGGCTGTGTTTTGGATTTGTGCTAAAAACAGTCCTGATAATACAGCGATGTTTTCGTTACTGCTGAGCAGTGCTTACACAGAGTCAAGGCCTTTTCTGCTTCTCACCCCGCCCCACCAGCGAGCAGGCTGGGGGTGCACAAGGGGGGATGTTTGGAGTGATGGCGTTTGTCTTCCCCAGTAACCGTTACGCGTGATGGAGCCCTGCTTTCCCAGAAGCTTCATTTGAAAAAACTAGACAAAAAATGTAGCTAATATAGTTCTTGTCCTATTCCTTCTCTTTAAGATTCAGACTCATTCAGTTCCCTTCACCACCTTTTAGTGCCAGTCGTCATCTTGGTCCTGATTTTTGAAACAGAAAAAGACTCAGGTTCCAGATGTATCAGAAATTGAATTTTTATTTGCAGGTCTACGATAGCTGCATTTCTTGGTGTCAGTGCAAATTAGGAAAACCAGGCTAAATTATGTGAGAAGGGGATTGACATGCTTTTTGTAAAGGGGGCCAGGGCTATGCATGATCTTCCAGAGCCTAACAGGTAACTCCAGAGGTGACCCAGAATTGAAAAGCTTGTAAAGTCCTCCTATGAGAGTATTTTTGCCTTAACTGGGATTCACAACTTGATTTATTTCCCTTATTATCAAATCCTCTGCTGCTGCCGTGCAGAGATCTCTTCTCAGTACTGGAAGTATCAGAGACTTCTACATGAAGGCACTCAAATACTACAGTGACTGGCAACCATAGAAAAATTGGAAATCTTCGTAAACGGTGAACTTTAGCACGTGCCTGAAGTTATCTGTGTTTGGCAAACTTCAAGGATGCGAGTAAATGATATGCTGAGTTGCAGTCAAGGGAGAATCAAAATAAAGGTCCAATGACCTGGATTTAAAAACAGTCCAATGCAGGTAAGCTTGTTTCTTAATTGCTAATGCATTTTCATTGTAACAACTTCCTAGGTGTATTTGGGATTTGCAGTAAGCCTTACGAAAAGTATGTGTGGAATGGCAAGCTTCTGGATGCAGTAAAAAATACTATTCATCGTGACTGGCTGCTGTATATTATTCATGGATTCTGTGGGCAATCAAGTATCCTTTTACTGTTGTAACGAATGTTGGTTTATCAATTCATTTATTTTTAAAAAGTTTGAAGGTGTGAAATACATTGAATTATTTCTTTGTCATGTAAATACTTTTCAATTTTAGATTTATTCACTGGCTTTTACTTTCATTACTTTTCTAGGTTTTATGGCTAAACAGGAAATACGGTTATGTTCTTATTACAGGGTCCTGACACAGGTAGTCTGCGTTCTCAGTGAGGCACTCTTTGTAAGCATGGGGTTTAGTAATAAAGAACTTGAGAGGATTTTAAGGCTCAGCTGTATTTTTTCACTGATTTTTGATTGATATTTGAGGAAGGGGAGAAAAGCTAAACAGAACTGAATTGCTGACATAGAAATGTTCTCTTACTAATCTCCTTTAAAACATTTTTTTAGTAACTGAGATTTGCAGAAATTCTGTTTCTGTTGAAGGCGATGATAGAACTTCATGCCTGTTGTGTGAAGAGAGTTAAGTAAACACTAGAACATCTGAAAATCTTTTTTGCTGACTATATATTATTTAAAATGGGTAAATGGGTCTATGTATGTTGTAGTAGTGGGAGAGAAAGCCCAAATGCATATCACACTCCAAAGAAATGCCATCTCAACATCTTAGTTGATAAGAATTTAGTATATTACAGAGACACTATATTTTAATCATCAATGTTATCATGTTAGTTCAAAAGCCTGTCAACAAAATATCTGGGGAAGCAAATACAATTAAGGTTAGTGGTGTCTCCGCAAAATTTAATTTTGTTTTTTCATGATTGTAAGGCTGCTGGTCATTGGCTTGGTCCCCAGACAGAAAGCTAGATCTCTTTTTATATACCACTATTTTGTCTGGGGTCTCACTTAATCGAAGTGGTAGCTGTGGATCAGACCACCAGCATTATGCCTGCAGCTGCTTTGTGAGTGACAGTACTCTTTGCTCTAGGTATCTGATGAGCACATGTCGTCTTCCCTCTTTCCTGTGCCTCCATTCTGCTAAGGAAGCAGTGATAGTCATGTTAGACATCTGATTCTATCTCTTTTGTTTTTAATAAAAAATAAAAAGCCTAAAAGAAAGCCACCTCTGCATCTGAAGCTGTTTGCCTCTGGCTTTCTGTTGGTGTTACTTAAGTAGTTGCATATTTATCTGCTTTTCCAGACAAATAATTAGAGGGTGACTAATATACCTGATCTGAAAATAGAAGCTCCCAGGCTTTAATCCTAGTATTCACAAAAGCAGTATTTGCGGCCCAAGATGAATCTTGTACCTACTTCACCTACACTGTCATTCATAAAATAAATACTTCTCTTCCATATGTTGTGAAAAGTGGTTGATGTATTATAACATAGATTCCCTTTTCAAAGTTTTTCAGAACGACTGTTGAAAAGGGCAGTGCTCTCTCCAAGCTGCAAAAGAAATTTGGAAGTGATACTCATCTCTATTAATAAGATTTTAGTAAATCGGATGTTTCACTTTCATACACTTTTTTTAGAATTTATTTTTGTTTGCATGAAGCAAGTGAACGAAAATTTGCATGTGACATGTAAACCTTAACTTCTCTTTCAAGAACTGTTAATATATGGTCGCCCTATATATGTCACTCTCATAGCCAGAAGATCAAGCAAATCCCCCGCCCCCCCCCCCCCATGAAAGCTTGAACTTGACTGACTGGAGAACTGAAATGTTTTAGAGGGTTGTTAGGGCTTTGGTTTAAATTATGCTATTAGATGATATCACAGCTATCATTACATTTTTAATTCAGATAATACAGCTGTTCTTAAAATAATAAGTCTTAACTGGCAGTTTTTTGTGGGTTTTTTTTTGTTTTACATTGAGAGATACTGTTATTTCCCAAATAGAAAAAAAAATAATAAAATCAGATAATATGCATTTAGGGACAAATGGGAGTTTAACTTTCAGTGGTGTTCCCACTACCATGATTTGGTCTCTTACAGTTTAATTGTACTCTGTTTGTAATGCTCAATTCTCTATAATGTGTGCAGCTCTGAAGTGTCATGTCTACATTATAAGTGTATTTCTGTTTGTTTTAGGGAGATGTTGCTAATGAAGTGGAAACTGAACAAATACTTTATGATGCTTCAGTTATGTCATTTTCTGCAGGGAGTTATTCTTCCTACGTTCAGGTTCGAGGATCTGTCCCTCTGTACTGGTCTCAAGATATTTCAACTATGATGCCTAAGCCACCCATAACATGTATGTACAAATTATTCTTTGTGATAGTTTATGGTTAGTGCTGTGTCCTAAAGGAACACCTGAGAGAGTAAGTGAAAACTAAGTTTGCAAAATTGAACAAATTGTCTATGCGTTTGTTCTTTGGGAAGCTATAATTTAAGGTAAACCAATGTTCTTTATAATAAACATGGAATATACATATTCAATCATATAAAAAGCTGCATTTGATGAAATTGAATAGGAAGAAATCTCCATCTTAGTCTTCACATTCAGAAATGGAATACAAAAAACTTATGTTTGAAGATGTCCACTTTCTTTGTGCTTATTATTTTGCATACAAAGTTAGCTACATTTATCTTAGTATTGTGGATACCATTTTGAACCTATTGAAAACGGTGGAAAATATCTGAGCTAAGTTTAACGGGACTAGAATACTTGCTCTTTGTAAGCATCTTTCTTTGTAAGCTTTCTAAGCATCTCATGAAAGTTTTGGTTAAGAAGTCACTTCCAATTTGGAAAAGGGAAGATTTTTTTTAACAGCTTTTGCATGAAGAGGGGAGAGTATGTAATTGTGTCATTACTGTTGGAGAATTAGTATGTATTTTGTGAAGAGTACTTTTAAGGGGAAATGATTAATTGACTACAGCTCGCTTGATATTGCCCTGAATACACGTATTTGTTGCAGTGGACCAAGCAGATCCTTTTGCACATGTTGCTGCTCTTCACTTTGACCAAATGCTTCAGAGATTTGGCTCTCCCATTATTATTTTGAATCTTGTGAAGGTACAATATTTTGAATATTTTCTATATGTTTTCTAATTTTTAATATGATGCTTACTTCTGTAGAGTCTCTGTGTAATTTTGGTTGTGCTGTAAACTAATACTAGCTTATAAATGGCATATTTTCTTCATAAATCTCATCCTACATGGAATAGTACATAACCCTAACTGCTTCCACTACAGCCCTTCAAAAAAAGAAGTTTCCCATGTTTATAGACTGCTTCTAGTAACCTTTCATTGTTGTTTTCAAGTTTTTGATATTACCCATTAGATGTGAGTAAGTCCAAATAAATTTACCACTAAATTTAGTTTAGAACTAAAAAATGCTAAAATAGTATGGTACCATGCAAAGTGAGGTTTGTAGGCTTCTTGACACAGATGACTGAGTTATTTGAAATATTATGATAAAGACTTATCTTTTGTTGTTTGCTCCGTCTGGTAGAGTCATGGAAGTACAAGCGGGAGAGAAAACTGAAGCATCTGATGCTAGCTAACGGGCAGTGCCAGTGGCAGCAGAGCTGGACTGATGGGGGGAGCTTCGTGATTGCTGCAGTAATTCAGTTAAATGCTGTGTGAGAGGCTGTGGTACAAAGCCTGGATCCCGGGTGGCACTGTGATTTTGGTTATTGCATCTTTTATTTGTGTTGGGGTTTTTTTTTGTTTTGGTTTCTGTTCTGATCCAATAATTTTCTGTGGTGGTGTCTGTTTCCACATTTGAGTTTAATATATTGATTTGTTTTGCTTGAATCATATCTTATTTCTTTTTAGTCTTTAAAAGAAATCATTTAAATTTTCATGTTGTAGAGCTGTATTTGGTAGAAAAAAGGATCTTTTATGTGCATGTAGGATCTGTTCCTAGTATAAAAAAACAGGGAAAACACAAAAGGAAGGATTTAAAAACTAAGTTCTAATAAATGGCAACTAGATAACCTATTTTCTATTTCTAGAAGCTTTCCTGTGTAGGAGTGCTTTTAAGACTGTCCAAGAGTCTGTGGAATCAACTTAGGAAAACGTGTGTTGACAAGAAAATGATTTTATCTCTTACAGCCATAGTTTTCAAAAGCCATTGTTATAGTGTGAGTCGACTCACATGACCTTGACATGTGAATCATTATATCCTTTTATTCACAGGACTTTTGATACAGTGGATGAAAATGCATCTCTTTCTTTCCCTCTCTGTAGATGCTCAATATTAAGATGCTAAAATTCATGTTCCTTTATTACTTTATGTCCCGTTTTAAAAAAAACAAAAAGAAAAGAAAAAGAAGCAAGCAGGAGAAGCCCCCAAATCTGAACACCTTTTTTTGGATGTTGCTGTTGCTTTTACACAAATGCTAAGCACTTCTATCTCCAGTACTTCTATTATTTGATTTCTTAAATGTTGATGAAACATAAATCTGTGTCTTCCTATATTTGTCTATCCTAGAAACTTGTTAACTAGTAATTAATGTATTAGGCTTCCTTTGAGTTGTTCATTTAGGACTGCTATTATATATTTAAAGCAGTTTCTATAACATAGGTTCAGTATAGGTTTTAGTTTGGATGAAGTTGAGAGGAAAGCCATACTAATATATAGAGTGCCAAAACATATGGTATATTCTGAGAATGGCAACATAATTCTAATTTTTTAAAATTATTGCAAAGCTGGGAGATGGGAGCTGTTGTTCCCCATCTCCTCTCAGTAATGGAGAAGAATTTGCTTGGGTCCTCTTGTACCCCAGGATTGAATGGGATACTTTCCTTTCTGCCTGTCTTTATCCTCCTCTTCTGTCTTTTGTCCATTTCCTCTGTATTACCACTTTTGTTTCCTTGTGCTCTTCTTCGCTTTTATGGGGTTCCATTTTTCAGCCAATGATTATGCACAGTTGAAATGGCTGACTCTTACTACTAATACAGATCAATTGTTAAAAACCCAGAATGTTTAGATTTTTCTGTCTCTTCTGTTCTTAATTTAATTGTACTAGTTATGAAGAGCTGCCTGCTGTTGTTACAGCTTCTTACAGCTTCCGCTTCTAATTTGTATTGTATATACATACATGTATATGTGTATGTATGAGAGTTACATACATTTGTTAATGACAATTGTAATGTTAAATTCCTTTTCTTATTGCTAAAGGAACGTGAAAAAAGAAAGCACGAAAGGATTCTTAGTGAAGAACTTGTTGCTGCTGTGACATATCTCAACCAGTTTTTACCCCCAGAGCATGCAATTATATATATACCCTGGGATATGGCCAAATACACAAAAAGGTAGAAAAGATCCTTCTTTGTACTAGTGCTCTTGTAGCCACAATACAAATAATTGTATGCTACTGAGTGTCTCTCTTTTCAGTTGCATGAAATGCTGGGAGAATTTTATTAAAATCTATGGGCAGAATAAAACCTCAGCTTTCTGAAGGATTTTTAATGTTTTCTATGGGTTCTTACCAAAGTGGAGCAAGGTCTGAAAACTTTGAAATTCTCTGCAAAGGAAAATTTTAGAGAAAAGCCACAAAAAAGCCATCAACATTCACTTTTCATTTTGAGTTAGTCAAAACACTGCGTTTTGTCAGGTGTTCCATTTCAGTCATTGAATTTATTGAGTTTCAGAATTTTGGAAAACAAGGGGTTTCATATCAATCAGTCTTTTCCATTTCCTCTTCCAAAAGGAAATTAGGATATTAATTTCAGTGTTATAAAGCATTTAGGTTATTAGAAGCATGTATCTTAGAAAGGCAATTATATTCTGTAACTTTTTATTCTATAATTTTGGACAATAGAATGCTGGACTAAGATCATGTGGAAAGGATGAATGTTTTCCTAAATGTAGAAATATTTACAAGGCACAAACATTTTAAATCTACAGGTATAGATTGCTATTCTTAAGTAACACACAACTTGGTTGTAAAGTTGTCTGGCCTGCGTATGTTTACTGTATCTTATAATGCCAGAAATTTTAGAAGAATGACAAGAATTGTTGGATCAACTTTCAGGTATCTGTTACTATATCAGTGTGAGCAAAACAATGGAAAAACTGGTACGGTTCAAAGGACAGGAATATAATCAATGTTTGCTGATTAAAATTTTATGAAAAAAGCTTTGGAAAACAATCCTTATTCGCTGTTTGAGATTACAAGTTGGTTGATACGATTGGTCATGTAGGTGTGAAACTGTTACTTTAAAGTTTGACGTGGTTTCACACTACATTTTTATTCTAAAATGGCATTGTGTACAGTTAGGCGTTTATTCAATTGTTTGTGTTATGATTAAATAGCAAATCTCAAAATAAGGCTAGATTTCCTTTCAGAAGATGCGCTAGGTGCAAGTTCTTGGGTTTCATATGGAGTGATGCTGATGAAGCTTAGTGGTCTATCCTATATGGGAAATGATACTGGGTGATCAAAGGATTCTCCTTCTAGCTTTAAGCTTGAGGTATATCTATATACATATCCACCCTAGTACAGATATAAAAAATACCTGAGGACTTTGAACAAGGTTAATTATTAAGGCAAGCAAGAGAGATTTAAGAATGGAAGATAATGTATATGTCTGCCTAAAGAATTGACGGTTTCAGGAGTACTGAGAACGTGTTTGCTTTAACATGTAGTTTTGAAGTAAGTTTGCTGGAAAGTAGTACTGGTGAAAATGTTCCAAAATATTGCTTCTATCTCAATATAAGCAATCTTTAAAAAATAAATAATTGTTTCTGTTACTTGAAATGTAAACACTAATAAAACCTTTGAAAATAAAATTATGAGTAAACAAAAGTTGAAGTCCCCAACAATGAATGAATGGATGCCCTGATCTGAGCAGGAGGTGCAGGACATCATGAAGGCCACACAAGGAAACAAATGTTACTGAACAAAACAGCACCTTGCAAACAAAATGAAGGAATATGATTTAGCATAATCATATATCCTTTTCTGCCTCATTCTTCTTTTGTGAATCACAGAAAGTTTGGTAGAGGAAAATTAGTGTGATATGAAAGTCAAGGAATTTTAGATTTTTGAAGTCTTCCACTTGCAGTTTATGTAATATGTTTTATTAAAAAGTAAACAAAATTGCTCAGATATTCTGTTTCAGTGTCTGTTTCCTAAGTCTGTAAAATCTAAGAAAAATGTAGACATAATTACTGTTGGATAAATAAAGCTGCGACGCGAGTCTTCCTTTAAATCATTTTTGTTTCTCTCCTCAGCAAACTTTGCAATGTCCTTGATAGACTGAATGTGATTGCAGAAAGTGTAGTAAAGAAAACTGGATTTTTTGTAAATCGGCCTGATTCCTACTGCAGTATCTTGCGGCCAGATGAAAAGTACGTATAATTTAATTGATGCGTAATGAATAACATCTATTCCTTGGAGGGTTGTCTGGAATGTCTATGTCTATTACATTATTTCTTACTTTAAGGCTTAAATTAATATGAAAAAATGTAATTCATTATTAAGTTATAGCTGAAAGGATTGCAGTCAGAGGTACATGCTAAGAAATACTAATACACTGAAAGAGTACAATTACGCTGCTGCTGTTCTACTCGTAAGGAATTCTTAATTCAAACCATTATTTGTAACTTGTAATCTGTGCCGTGTGTTTATATAAAGGGTTTTGGTTTTTTTTCACCTTAACCAAAGGAATCCTAAATTTGGGGGTAAATTTAAGAAAGCAAACAACATTTGGAGTTTTAAGTAGCTTCTTTTGAGGCATACTAATAAGATAACTATCATCTAAATTTTACTGAGTCGGTTGTTTTCCAATGGCTTTTATGGTATTCATACATATAAAATTTAAAACTTTTTTTAAAAATAGAAACTATTTGCTTAGACTGCTGCAGAAGTACAGTGATTTAATCAGCTGAATTCTCTCAAGTCCCTGAAAATCCAGAAGTAAAATAATTGCACATTAAAATTTCAATAAGTTTTTGATTCAAGTTTTCATATTAGGGATCTAATTCATCACTACCCAAATGGGTGTTCATATTTTACATGGAGAGCATCCTTGCCTGTTTAGCCTGTCTTCATTTAGAAACAGTCTGAGCTAAAACTCTCATAGGCTTTCGTAGAGCTTTTCTCTGCCGTGCAATGCAGCAAACATGGTGGCTGTAAACTAGCAGGAACAAGATCAATACATCCATGTAATGCTGTGTTCTGTAGAGAGAGTCTGGTAAGTCTCAAATGTAGTATATAGGCTTGCCACAGCAGTGCTCTGGTCAGGCTAGGTAACCCTACTAACTTGAAAATATTCAGTAGTTCAGGGGCTACTTGCACCGAGCGTAACTGCTCCTCTACCTCAAAATGTCATTAATTTCTGATTCATGTTCTCTGGCTGTGGGGTACAGTTAAGGCCTATACAGAATTGGAAGACCTGGAAAATATGTATATATATGTATGTATCCAGCATGTATGCCTAGAATCAGTATGAGGGGAGATTTAAATCAACCAGCTTGTGCTACAGTGTATGTTAGGCCTCTACCTTCCAGTTGTTGGCGTTGTACCTACTTCAATTTTTGTGCACTGAAAACCTGATCTAGCAACACTTGTGTTGCCCGTGCTCTGTTTTATGGCGAGCAAAACAAATATTTTGCATGGCTTTGGAATGTTTCTACTTTAAGGCTAGATATTTATTTTTTTTTTCCCAATTTCATTTAAATACAACATCTTACTGCTGCATAGAGCTTTCACTGCTTTCTGCTATTTAGGGATATCGGTTTTGCTTTGTGGCAGGTTTCTAATTGTCACCCTTTTTCACTGAGCAGATCAATACATAGTATGATCTGTTATTTTTTGAAATGATTTGTGAGTCATTCTGTTTTGTTTCTCTTTCAGGTGGAATGAACTGGGAGGTTATGTTGTTTCCACTGGTCGCTTGCAGGTACTCAAATATACTTTATTAACTCATAGTTATAATGATATAGATCAGCACTCCCAAAGCACCAGTGAACCATTTCACTTAAATATCTGATTGGTGATTCAGTGTGCTCTTAAATTAACATTTATAGTAAACAGCATTATTGTAGTCCATCCCAGAAATCCAATTGAGAAATAGGGCTTAAAGTTCTTGCGTGGTACCACAAAACCTTATGCTGTTGGAATTGTATTTTTGCTGGAGGTAGTCTGAGAAATGCTCGTATTTTAAACGTTTCCATTACTATTTAGTCTGTAGTGTTACCAGTGCAGTGAGAGTTAAAACAGCAGCATTTTAGCAAGCCGCATAATACAATGTTACACAGAAGAGGTGAGGAATAAGCATACTTAGGCCTGGTGACATAGTCATACACAGGAAAATGGGTTATTAAAAGCATTTTTACCAGTGCTGAATACTCTGTACATTGTTACAATTTCCATCACTAAAAGAAAATAAAACTAGAAACACTGCTTTCTGTAAGGTCAGAAAAGTGCTGACTAAACTGTAAACCGTACGGTACCAGATTTATACCTGAATGTTACGATTATATACTCTGAACACAGGGCATATTCTTAAGAAGCATTAGTTGCTTTTGACTTGCCATTCATAATTTTGTAGTTCTTGTAAGTTAGAAAGCATGTGACCATTCCTTTACCAGCTGATCACTGGGATATGTTTGTTGAGGGCAGATAAACAGTGGAGTAGATAGAATTTGATCTGTTCTAAAATAAAACATATCAACGCTAGTTAGATTTTTTTAATGTTAGTCTTACAGGTTTACCTGTATTAGGGGAATGATTATTTTATCTATCTTTCAACTTTAATAATTCGTGGTAGTCACCATTGGCATACATGTAAGCATTTGGATCACAGTTAATCTCGGAATAGACATCTTGTGAGTCACGCTCAAAAAGTGCTTCTTTATTAAGGCAATAAAAGTTTAGTTGACTAGCTTGGATGTAGCCATGTATATTTGAGCAGAAGAATGCCCCATGCTATTATATTAAAATACGTTTCTTGCAGCTGTTCACATTATAAAATAACTTTGTGTGCATTATGGAATTGAAGAATGGTGGTACAAGCAGCATACAAGAATATGTGCATGACTGACCTTCAACAAAATGTTCATGTGTGTTGCTCCAGATATGGAAAACTTAAAATATAAGCACCATTACAGTAGAACCACAGCAAGTTAGAAGTGTGCTTTATTTTTTGGAGTAGTTACAGCATACTTGAAAATAAGACCTTCTTCACTGAAATAACATAGCTTTTCTTTTTAAGGTAAATCTTTAGGGCTATTTGTGAGTTGAAGGAGAGATGCAGTTTGTGTGATGATAGAAGCAAGAATATTTTGAAAGTAGGCATTGCAGCAGTCTGATGTAGTTTGCTAGAGTTTAATAGTTTTTAACATTTTTTAGAAATGTCTTTCCTCAAATTTTTGTGAACTGATGTAATTTGAGATTTGACGAGTCTTGGATAGTAGGAAAAAAGTAATAATCATGAGTGTAGTAATTTGTTAATTAAGAAAAAATCTCTTATTTGAATTGCTTTACCAGACTGGAGTTCTCCGAACCAATTGTGTGGACTGTTTAGATCGCACTAACACAGCCCAGTTTATGGTGGGAAAATGTGCTTTGGCATACCAACTCTATTCACTGGGATTGATTGATAAACCAAATTTACAATTTGATACAGATGCTGTTAGGTAAGATATGTTAATAAAGTGTGTCATGGTTTTATTTTTTAATTTTGTGTCGAGATTTGGGGAAATTATGTCTATGTAGAAGAAAAGTGCAATTCTTTCTATTGGAATGATTTAATAACGTTTATTCATCCAGGTTTAAAAAATCTATACTTGAAATCTTCTTGAGAAAATTCAGTCATGCTGAAAATTTGCTCTTCTGGAAAAGTATGTTATTCAGGCTTCTTACAAGATAACTGCTTGACTTCATTCTCTTTATATGCCTAAACTTAAAGCTATAAGAGTTTTCCTTTTAAATAAAGGTAACAAAACCCCCACCCCAGTCTTTTACACTTACTTTACTTGTTTGAGGCAAAATGCTGCCGAAAAATGAAAACGGAAATAAGTACATGCTTTTATGGAGAATGACAAACTGATATTTGTATAGAAGTACATCTTACCTTGCTGTTTCCTACTTTTCCTTTGGAAAAATTTTGTGCTTTTTGATTTATTGAAGAAAAGCTTTCAGCAAAGTTGTTCTCTCACATCAAGTATCAACGATACTTACTCAAGCATCCTCAAACCATTTAAGAAAACCCAGCATTTAAATTGAAATGCTTTGGGGGTCGGGGGGAGCTAAGCTACTTAACTTGTGAATATGCTTCAGAAATTGATGTAAGAGTCCTTGAGGTGATGTGGTTTTATTCCTTAAAGCTGCTGTCGTGACTGTGAAACTTATGGCTTCATTGCTGGTTTTGACTAGTGGTTTGATAGTTTCAGAATGTGGAAATGTAACTCGTATTTCAGAAAAGACAAAGTACTCAGTCTCCCCTCCCCTTTACTCGAGACATACCTTCAGCTCCTCTTCTTTCTCCCATTAGCTTCCAGCACTTGCCTGGTGCCAGGAGCTGGTATGTGCCACAGAAACAACCTCACTTGCAGCATGTTGGCTCACTGTGCAAGCGGTGGCTCCTGGCCTCTGCCTGATGGCCAGGGAGAGCACCCGCTGGCTGACTTCCTCGGTGTGCTAGCAATGCCTTTTGTCCACCATGTCCCAGCTGCTGGGTGCTGCATGTTTACCTCTGGCAGCAAACAACTGCTGCTGCAAATACCAGTTGCTGTGCAGCCTCCTGGGGACTCAGCAATTGGACTCTTGGGTTCTAACCAGAGGGGATCAGGAGGTGGACAGGTCTCTTATATCCACTCTCTACAGCTACCACTTACTTCAGCACCTCAGGCTGCATTTTACTATCTTTCCTTAGGCTTCACTACCTCCCCCCTTCCCACCCCTATTTTGGGACCCCAAATTTCCTCTGTTGCTTCCTGCTGCAATAGTCCCATGCTTCCTGTCTATCTTCTCTCCCTCCTGCTTCCTCTCTATGCCCAAACCACCCAAATTCCCATCTCTTACCATCGTATCTTGAGATTATACTAGTTGCTTTGTCTCTGATCTGTCTCTGTCTCTGATACCTTATTTCTCATTATCAGAAATAGTGTGGCCAGCGGGAGTAGGGAAGTGATCGTGCCCCTGTACTCGGCACTGGTGAGGCCGCACCTCGAATACTGTGTTCAGTTTTGGGCCCCTCACTACAAGAAAGACATTGAGGTGCTGGAGCGTGT